TGTCTTATTTAGGATTTGTGGTTTCTTTAGGACCAGCACCCTTGGCTCGTAATCTGGGACCTTGGGCAATAATATTGGGGTGTATTGGATGTGAGGGGGCATGTGGGGGAACTCTCACTAATGTGGCTTTCCTGTTGTAGGCCTCTGGTTCACTCAGATTGGGGGATAGTGAAGTGAACCTTGAGCCCTGTGGCTTGGGGTTTAGAGGACAAATTCCAGCTCGTTCCTCTGGACCAGGCCACTGGTTCCTGATCTGTGGTCTCTGGACAACTGGGCATCCTTGTAGGCAGTGGCCACATCCTAATTCCTGTTTCTTGGATACTTGCCATGTAGCAGGCATCATTCCAGCTCTTCTTTCATTGAAGCTTTCTGAGCAACTCACTGACACAGTGGGATTGTGTATTTTTCCCCTAAAGGTACAACAGTACTTTTAGTCACACGTGCCTGTGTGACTCTTCCCTGCAAAAGACAGACTCTGTTCCTCCTCCTCCTGCACCTGGGGGGACTTCGTGACTGCCTCGTGGAGCAGAATGTGGCAGGGGGATGCACTGTGACTTCTGAGGCTCAGTCCCTCTGCTAGTGTTGACTGAGCACCTACTGAGTGCCCCAGGCCTTCTCGGTCCTTTAGGTCCAGTAGGTACTCAGAGTACCTACTGAGTGCCCAGTGCTCAGTCCTTCTCGTGGTGTTGACTGAGCACCTACTGAGTGCCCCATGAGGGGAGGGAGTTGGGGGTGGAGGGCAGATGGGAGAAGAGCTTTGCTTGCTTTTTGTGCCCTGAATGAATCTAGGCTGACTCTCCAGTGATCCCAGGAGACTATCTCAAGTTACCTCTCTTAGCCCCTTGCAGTTTCGTACCTGACCCCCAAGCCAGCCCCTTGCCCTGTCACTGGTCACATCTCTCCCTCAGGTGAGACCCAAGTCGACCAGGCTGGGGGTCTAGTGCCTGCCACCTCTCTAGATCTGCCTCATGCGTCACTCCAGCCACGCTGGCCTTCTTTCACCAGCTATGGGGCCTTGGGCAAGCCCCTTCTCCTCTCTGAACCTCAGTGTCCTCCTCAGTAGTCATCAGGGGAACCCCATTTGTTCATTCATTCACTTGCTGTGAAGAGAACCCCCACGTTTAAATGACTTCCCTCCTCTAGGCCCTACCTCTTCAAACAGTCACACATTCCAAAGCTCCTGATTCTCAATAAACCTTTTCTTCTGCCTAAGAATAGCCTGCTTTAAAAAAAGAAAACAGAACAACCTGCTTTTATTCCAAGCTCTGTTCCCCCCTTAGAAGGCTTTTTCTCTCTGGTCATGCCTTAACATAGGCCAGTGGTGTCTGCAAGTGGAGAATGTGTGTGTTGATAGTAGTTCCTTATTAGGAAGTTGTATTGTCACAGCCACGGTCAGTGGACATGTTTGTGGAATTGGAAGCATCATGCTTTATCTCTGCAATCGCTTCTCCCTCTCAGGAAAAATAGCGAACATATCAGAATAGTATGTTTTCTCACAAAGAGTCCTCTTTTAGCCAGATTTCCTCAGAAAGATTATTCTGGGAAGCAAAAGACTGAACCTAGTGGTTAATTTGCAGAGGGGTGTTTTTGGGTAATCCAGTGTCATTCTCTCAACACATTGCTATTGATAGGTACGCATAACAGGAAACATAATGGTAATTATATAAAGGATCATGATCTGCAAGACGTGTTCTAGGCACTTACACTGCACCGGGGTGACTCGACACATTCATATTATAGGTGAATCTACAGTCAAGCATCAGAGCTTCAGAAAATGGGGAATTCTCAGTGGGCTGAGGTGGTCAGGGAGGGCTTCCCTGAACAGGTAAAGATCTCAGATTCTTATCACACCAGTTCGGGTTCAGAGGGCCTAACTCAGAGGTCCTTGCATGGTACAGTCTCTCTCTCTCTCTCTCTCTCATGCACACACACACTCTGTTGGTCTTAATTGAAAAGATAAATTAGTTCAATCCAGGAAGATAAGTAAGATGGAGGTTGATTGGATGAGAACATGTTTTCATAGGATGGTCCTGGGGTGAGGATTGTCAGTGTGAGAAAACAGCGTCAGATGTACTTAACTGTTTGCAGAGCACACCTCACGAGAGTGAAGTCTTACTTCCTCACAGCCCCTCAAGGTCAGCCCCCAGAGAAATTGAGTCTCGGGCTCCGTGACTTGGCCACACAGGTCGTAGGTGATAAAGCCCAGAATCTAGCAGCAGCAATGGTCCACCCCTGGTATGTCTTGGCACTGTTAGCCCCCATCCTTGACTAACACTGTTCTAGCCACATAATTTAAAAAGGGCTAAGTGAAATGCCAGGAAGAGATGCGTTTAATGATACTTTAAGAACCATGTCCACTTTTGAACCCTCTTTTCTTTCTGCCATTTTTTTCTCAGCCAATTTAAATTATTTTATTATTTTAATTTATTTTTATTTTTATTTTTTTTATTAGTTGGAGTAATTACAATATTGTAGTGGTTCTTGTCATACATTGACATGAATCAGCCATGGATTTACATGTATTCCCCATCCCGGTCCCCCCTCCCACCTCCCTCTCCACCCGATCCCTCCGGGTCTTCCCAGTGCACCAGGTCCGAGCACTTGCCTCATGCATCCAACCTGGGCTGGTGATCTGTTTCACCCTAGATAATATACATGTTTCGATGCTGTTCTCTTGAAACATCCCACCCTCGCCTTCTCCCACAGAGTCCAAAAATCTGTTCTATACATCTGTGTCTCTTCTTCTGTTTTGCATATAGGGTTATCGTTACCATCTTTCTAAATTCCATATATATGTGTTAGTATACTGTAATGGACTCTATCTTTCTGGCTTACTTCCCTCTGTATAATGGGCTCCAGTTTCATCCATCTCATTAGAACTGATTCAAATGAATTCTTTTTAATGGCTGAGTAATATTCCATGGTGTATATGTACCACAGCTTCCTTATTCATTCGTCTGCTGATGGGCATCTAGGTTGCTTCCATGTCCTGGCTATTATAAACAGTGCTGCGATGAACATTTGGGTGCACGTGTCTCTTTCAGATCTGGTTTCCTCGGTGTGTAGCCCAGAAGTGGGTTTGCTGGGTCATATGGCAGTTCTAGTTCCAGTTTTTTAAGAAATCTCCACACTGTTTTCCATAGCGGCTGTACTAGTTTGCATTCCCACCAATAGTGTAAGAGGGTTCCCTTTTCTCCACACCCTCTCCAGCTAAATTATTTTTAAAAATGACTTTAGAATAGAAAAAGAGCTAGGAGTCAAAATTTCATATTAAAATTTCATATTACTTTGACATCTTTTAGGATTTTAACACTGGAGCATATCAAAGAAGCAGTAATGGCTTTGGGCCATAGACAAGCAGAGTCCTTTTAAAATGATTTTTTTTTTTTTTTTGGCCTTGAGGTCTTCCCCTAAAACTAGGTGAAGAAAGACCTCTCCTAGTGCTGATTGGAACAGAAAGTATCTCATTCCTCATGAATGGAAATAGGAGCAAAAGTATTCCAAAGCATGAATCCACTGCGAAATCCACTACATCAAGCTCCCTGGAACAGTAGGAGGGGAAGAAGCCCTGAAATTGACCTGGTGATTGGGAAATACAGGTTAAATGCTTTTGTAACTTCATCACTGTCAATTCAACAGGGAATCACTGGTATCCGAGCCTCCCATTTGCCTGAGAGTCAGGAGCTTCTAAACCAAGAAAGGAAGAAACCAAGCATATTATTTACGAGCTTCTTCCCTCTTGCTGCTTTAAGTCACTATGAAATAAGCCTGTTTGTTACCGCGCTGGGGCAACGCTGGGCAAGATTACACCGCTTTGCGGGAACCGGCAAGACCTGCCTTCCGCGCCCCCTAGCGGATCTATGTGGGATCTATACAGCCCACGCTTCACGCTGCGGAAAAGCTAGCCACCGGCAGGCAGCGCCGCATCCTAACGCCGTCCGCGCGCATAGCCTCGACAGGGCTGCCTGATCGCCTCTAGCCTGATCGACTCTAGCGACCAGTCAGGGCTGCAGGCGAGGTGATTCCACACCAAGTTACAGCGAGCCCTCCGCATCCTATCAGACTGGGTACTGGCAGCAGCCACTTGAACCTGAGCCGGGAGCGCACGCGTCTTTGGAACCATCCGTGGCGGTGCAACTTCCCCAGGGAACCAACTTTAGTTTCTCCCTACGACTCGGTTCAGGTAGCTGGATCCAGCGCGAGTGGATAGGATGTTTGGCGCTGGTGGAGCCACTGGGACCCGAGAGAAGGTGCTGGAGTGCTTTGAGATCCTAGTTTCTGGAGGCGCCGCCGGTACTCAGAGATTGTAAAGTACCTGCTCAGGATCTCGACGGAGATCCCTTGGCTGTCGGGGGCCAAGACGCCTGTTGAATTCCCCAACCTTCGAGGATGCTGGGCTGGGGAGGATCTCCCCCGAGAGGTGTCAGGGGTACAGAGGTTAGGCGTCCTGGATATACTGAGTCAGGAGTGCCTCCAGGATGGAGGCAAAGAAGAGGTTGTTGTGGAAATTCAGGGGTGGATGGCTAAACATTTTAGAAACGGGATTCGAGGGGGGATGGTCTTGAGCAGGGTTTCCCAGGCAAGTGGCTGTTTGAGAGCGGGGTAGGGGGGCGGTGGTGATCAGAGGGAGCATCCGGAGTGGGGTTTACTAGGAGAGGAGGCTGTCCTGTGGGTTCTGGGGAGTAACTAGTTGGGGGATTCTTAGGGGAGGTGGCTGGCTTAGAAGCCCCAGTCCGGGAGGAAACTGGTTATGTTCCTCCCTCTCCTTCAGTGGAAGCGACTATCTTAAGGAACTGCGGGTCCGGTAGATTCCCGCTCATTTCCAGTGTCTCAGAAGTATCTCAAACGGGAATTTCTAGGACGGCCGCCCAGCAACCCCAGGGCCGGCGGTGGTGGCCCTAGTCCTAGATGATTTGGGGTTCCTGGGAAGGGGACAGCTGAGGCATACCTGCGTCGGGAGAGAAACGCACGGTCTTCTCACGGCCCTCGGGGTTTGTTTCAGAGTCCCGACCCAGCAGATCGGTCCGCGGAGTCTCAGGGAGGGGAACCCAGGAGCCCCCACCACGCCCCCAGGCACGCCGGGACTGCGCGTCGGGCCCCGCCCCGCGCGCCGCGCCTTAAAGGGCTCGAAGGCCGGGGCGCACCGCGGTGGCCACGGTCATGGAGGGTGCGTTTGCTGTAAACTGGAGCGCTGAGGCGGTCAACGGGAGCGCGGCGCCGCCCGGAACCGGGGGCAACCGCACCGCCGGGCCGCCACAGCGCAACGAGGCCCTGGCGCGGGTGGAAGTGGCCGTGCTGTGCCTCATTCTGTTCCTGGCGCTGAGCGGCAACGCGTGCGTGCTGCTGGCGCTGCGCACCACGCGCCACAAGCACTCGCGCCTCTTCTTCTTCATGAAGCACCTGAGCATAGCCGACCTGGTGGTGGCGGTATTCCAGGTGCTGCCGCAGCTTCTGTGGGACATCACGTTCCGCTTCTACGGGCCCGACCTGCTGTGCCGCCTCGTCAAGTACCTGCAGGTGGTGGGCATGTTCGCGTCCACCTACCTGCTGTTGCTCATGTCGCTTGACCGCTGCCTGGCCATCTGCCAGCCGCTGCGCTCGCTGCGCCGCCGCACCGACCGCTTGGCGGTACTCGCCACATGGCTCGGTTGCCTGGTGGCCAGCACGCCGCAGGTGCATATCTTCTCGCTGCGCGAGGTGGCGGACGGCGTCTTCGACTGCTGGGCCGTTTTCATCCAGCCCTGGGGGCCCAAGGCCTACATCACGTGGATCACGCTCGCCGTCTACGTTGTGCCGGTCATCGTGCTTGCCGCCTGCTACGGCCTCATCAGCTTCAAGATCTGGCAGAACTTACGGCTCAAGACGGCGGCGGCGGCGGCCGAGACTGCCGCTGGGGCTGAGGGCGCGGCAGCAGACTGCGGGGGGCGCGCGGCTCTGGCCCGCGTCAGCAACGTCAAGCTCATCTCTAAGGCCAAGATCCGCACGGTCAAGATGACCTTCATCATCGTGCTGGCCTTCATCGTGTGCTGGACGCCGTTCTTTTTCGTGCAGATGTGGAGTGTGTGGGATGCCAATGCGCCCAAGGAAGGTAGCGCGGGCAGAAACACCGGGAGGAGGGAGCGCGATGGGGCGGGGCCCTGGTCCTGCTGTCCCTGTCCAGGGTTTGGGGGGCTTCGTGGATTGTTCTGAGCCTTGGCCCCGTCATCTGCTGGCCACGTGATTTGGGGCATAACTTTCCTGAGCCTTGACTTCCCTTTCTGTAAAATAGCAAAGATGATAAACCAGTTTTCCCCTGCAGTTGTTAGTTGCTAACCAGTGTCCGACTCTTTTGCGACCCCATGGATTGTAGCCCACCGGGCTCCTCTAACCAAGGGATTTCCCAGGTAAGAATACTGGAGTGGGTTGCCATTCCCTTTTCTGGGGGATCTTCCCAACTCAGGGATCCAACCGGAGTCTTCTGCATTAGCAGCTAGATTCTTTATCACTGAGCCACCAGGGAAGCCCCCTCTTCAACAGTAGGGAAATGAAATGAGAAAATGCATGTAAAATCCCTACCACAGTTTTTAGGCCACATATGGGGTATTTGATTCACTATTATGGATCAGGAAATTGAGCTGCCAATGACTTGCCTTTTCCACCTGGTGAGCGATGCGGGGAGGTGACTTTCTGACCCAGGCCCAAGCTCCTGCGACGTCAAGTTCACTTTACCTTGAACTTCACTTTTAAGTTCAAGTCAGCGTGAACCCGGGAGACCTGGTTTGGATCAGAGCAGCGGGAGATGGACGCTTGGATTCTTCCAACCGAGCCCAAGAAGGTGTGGGGCAGGGCGCCGTCAGGGGGCAGAGACTAGTCTGGGAATCCCTTGCAGAGTGGAGGAGGCGAGTTGCGCCCCTCGCCCTCTCTCCAGCCGCGAGGTGGAGAGGTGAGTACTACGGGGGCGGCACTCTCAGTGCCCAGGAACTCAGACAGTGCTTCTGCCGAGGGGTGGGGGCCAGCAGGGAAGAGAGCGAACGGGACGCAAACTTTCCCATTTGTCTCGGGAGCCCGGTGATTTTGGTAGGCGGGGAACGCGCGCTCTCCAAACTGGAGGACAGGAGGGTCAGAACTGAGGGTGGCTGGGGAAACCGGGAGGAGAGGGTAGGGTGGGATGCTTTGAGGAGGGATCCAAGGGAGCAGAGCACCTGGGCGCTGGCTTGTGGCCGATGCTTTGCGCCTTCAGCCTTCATCACAGACAGTTCCTGTAGCTCATTTGCAAACAGCAGGAGGGGTGATCTGTGATGGTGAATGACTTACACCTTTTGGTTGGAAGGTAATTTCAATGCACTGGAATGCCAGCGGCTCAGTGACTTGTAGGGAAAGACTGAGGGGCTTTTTTTCAGCCGTTCTGTCCGTGAGAAAGCAAACTCATCCCATTTCTGGATAGAATCACTACTGCTTCCAGCAGTCTCCAGCAGAGCAGCCAATCCGTGAAAGCTGAAGTCATCATTCAGCTCGCTGACTTTGCTTTGCTCACAGGTCAGGGACTAACGGAGCAGCTGGAGAAATCCGATGTGGCTTGTCAGCGGGCCTTGTGGCCCCCACAGAGCCCTGTCCTGAGGTTTCGCTCCCCCTGCCAGTCCCCGGAAACCCAGCTGCTCTTTTCCCATCTCTCCCCGCCTAAACCTTCACTCTCACTAAGCTCTGCCTTTATTGGTTTAGAGCTCACCTTGTTCGAAAAATAACTTGGGGAGGGGGCTCAAGGATTCAGGTCCCAGACATGACAAAATAGACACGGGAAAATGGGAAGAAAGGGGAAAACAGGATAGAAATATAATAATAGCATAATAAAGCCCCTCTGTGTGTGTGTGTGGAGGGGATAGGTGGCTGCACAAGAGGCTGCCTTTTCATTGGAGGCAAAGCAAAGAGGAAAACTCTCAGTTTCAGTATTTTCATTGTTCAGAGGCGAAAATAGAGGAGAAAAAAGCAAGAGGAGGGTTGTGATAATTTAATGAGCGCCCCACCCCCCACTTTCCACCCAGTGAAGTGAAGTGAAGCCACTCAGTTGTGTCCAACTCTTTGCAACCCCATGGACTGTAGCCTACCAGGATCCTCAGTCCATGGGATTTTCCAGTCAAGAATACTGGAGTGGTTTGCCATTTCCTTCTTCAGGGGATTTTCCCGACCCAAGGATCAAACCCGTGTCTCCCGCATTGTAGGCAGACACTTTACTGTCTGAGCTACCAGGGTTCCACCCAGTAGCCACATGCTATTGGGGCCCTGCTTTGGTGAGTCTGGAACTCTGCAGAAGGAGGGCTGGGACCAGACATCCCTGGCAGGTTTGGACAAGCCCCGGATGGAACCTTCAGGATCAAATTGCACAGCCAAAAGATTTGGCACCAGCCTTTCCCCTTGAACTCCGTGGAACTTGCTTTGCTGGTGGTGACAAGGACTCTGGCTAGAAGGTGCTTCTCTGGGAGGAGATGAAGACAGATGGATGTATCCAGTTCGTCAAGACAGCAGGCAGGCACTGTAGTCCCCAGGTCTCAGTACAGGGTAACAGCTGGTGGAGCAGGAGTTGGCCTGTGTTTGGAGCCCACCCTTCCACTTCTCTTGTGTGTCCTTGAGCTGATGATTTCCCCCTTCTGAGCCTCAGCTTCCTCCTCTGTTAGGAGGATAGCAGGTCTACTCATGGGGCTGTATGAGGATGACATAGTGTGACCCATGGCACCTGGGGATCACATGACCAATGTCATTCTTCCTTCCCCCCATTCTGGTTGTTAAAAGTTGTGTTGTCATTCTTGGGATTGACTTTGAGAATCTCGGCAGAGGAAATAGACATTTCTCTCTCAAGAGCCTGGGTGTAGGAGCTGGGGTGGCGGCAGAATCTGCTGGACAGTAGGTAGTGTGTCCAGGAAGGTTGGTATGTGGAGAAGCTTGTTAAAAGCCAGAGAGGTGGACTGTGAGCCTTGTCACAGGGGAAATACCACTGATGCTAGTTGAGCAAATACGTGGGTTATGGGAGGAGGAAGGTGCATAAGATGGGGCAGGGATGGGTGTTTGGAGTTGAACTGAAGATAAATAAGACTCTATACAGACCTCTGGCCATAGAATTGGCTACTCAGTGAGGAAGTGAGCCCCCCCCCCCCCACACTGGGGGTAATCAAATATCTGCCAGGGTATTTTGCCAGGATGAAGGTTGAAATGCACAGGAGGCCTGGTTATAAGTGTTTCCCCATCTGTAAAATGAGCAGCAGTCACCCTGAATGGTTGACTCAACCTGCCTGGGGCTGTTTGCTGGGGTTAAGATTAGGCTTTAGGTTGTGGGGAGGGTAGAAGGTGCTGGTGGCATAGGGCCTGGCATGCAGTAAGTACACTGTCAGTGCTTTACAAAGAGGAGAATTTCAAGGTGTGTCAGGTCATGGAGTCCGTCCATACTGCTGAGGGAGTGTGGATTGTTGAGCTCAGGAGTGCATTTTCACAGAGGGACTGCAGTTTTCATTGAGTGGTGGCAAGTCCAGTAATGCTGGGAACAAGAGTGTTAAGAGGTCAAGGAAAATTAAGGTTTTCCCTGGAGGAGGCAGTATGACGCAAGGTGAGGGAGATTCTAGCTCTGAGTTTTGGAAGCCCAAGGGGACCCTTTCGGATGAGTGGGTGGCAGAATGGTGTAACCAGGTGGTCTTCCTGTGATTCTGATTCCAGGCCACTGAGGGGCAGCCTCTGCCAGCACCTCCCTCCGTGCTCTGCTGGGACGCTGGTACCTCCCACCCTTTACAGATAGTTCAGTACCACGGGCCTCTGCCCTCCACGGTCCAGGCCTCACACTGTGATGGTCACACTTCATTCTATTTCTTTCTCTTTATTCCCACCTGACCTTAATATTTGAGTGTGAACTCACTTTTCCCAGAGGGAATTGCATTTGCGTTCAGTCATTTTGTTAGGGGCCCGTCTCCCATCATCAAGCTAAGAAATTGTCTTTGCTTTTTCAGCATACTGGTGGCGGTGACTTGTTTATCAGGGCTTCCTGTCTGCTAATTTCATGCTTCACTTCAACTTAGTCCCTTATCGGACATTTCCCATTTTCCAGCCTCTGCTACTGGCCAAGGACAGAGCCACAGATGTCACACAGTCCTCAGCCACAGATTATAAGCAGAAATAACTACAATATGAAGGGATGATATTGAAAGAGTTGTATTCATTTGTCAGAAGTACTATAAGTGCCCCCAGGATGCATCCGTTGATTCTAGCTCCCTGGAAAAAAACCAGGATCAGACAGGAATCGACATTTGAAAAGGGTTTTGAAGGATGAGTAGGAGCTGGCTATGCAAAGAAACATACGCACATTGCCTGATGAGATCATTGGAATATTTCTCAGACTTCACTGTGTACACAGAATCACGTGGGAGAACTTGTTAAAATGCAGATTTTGATTCAGCACATCTGGGTGGGGCCCGTGAGACTGCATTTTTAACAAGCTCCTAGGTGATGCCCATGCAGGGCCTTTGACTGCACATTGAGTAATGAGGCTTTAATGTATTATCTCTGTTCCCAAAACTTGTGGCTTGCCTTTGCATGCGTGGCCCAAGTTGGTGGCAGGGTCCTGTCATTCTCCAAAGGGTAAGGAAGGGCTCTCGGTTTGCAGGAGACCTCACCTCTTCTGCCTCTAGAACATGGTTATTTCTCAGGTCCTTCCTGGTAGGCCCCACATGTCCCCAGATTTGAGCAGTGGCATCACAGAAGACTATTTAAAGCTCTGTAGTCCACAAGTTTAGCTCTTTTTCCTGACCTTATACATAGTGAGATCATACACCTGTGACTTTTACAATTCCAATGTTGTAAAATAGTGGTCTTTTCAAAGACAGAGCCCTGGAATGCATACTAGTATTCAATCTTTCTGTACATGTACATACAGAAATCATTTTTAAAAAAGTTTCTGTGCACCACAATTCCCAAATTCTCCTATAGCTCCTGTAGGGATAAGGGGTTTAGTCCTTATGAGAGATGCCTGTTTTGGGAGCCATGGGATGGGGTAGGGGTGGGGAAGGAAGACCTTGGACTGAGTGAGTGGTTTCTGGAGCGAGAGCCACTTAGGAAGGTTGATGAGCTTGATCATATTCAACTGAGCCATAGGTCTTTGAATTGTGAGTGACATGTGTTTGTTGCCTCAGGGACCACGCAGCCAGAGAGGAGAGGCCATGGCCAGCTGCCCGTCAGCTGTTCCGGGCTAATTTGGGCCCAGGGTGACAGTGATGGTGACAGGCGGGGGCAGTACCGGGAAATCCGCATAGGGGACTTCGTGAGGCTTGAGTAAAGCCAGGCTGGTGGGTGGGTGGACCACTGGGACACCCTGTCCTCGCATGGCCCTCGGCCACTCACCTCCTCCATGAGTCATGGTTCTGGCTGGAAGTTCAGCGTGGTCTCTGTCTTCTGGGGGCGGTAAATGCCCAGCAGGGGATATTTGCAGTTGGCGCATCGCCCTTTCTGCTCAGTCCTCTGCTTGGCACGTAGGAGCCCCCACTTGAAGATTACCCTAGCGCCCTGCCTTGGGCTCATTGCCCGTCTGCCAGTGCTGCCACTCCCCACTGACTAAAAGGCCTGTCTTGCTTCTCTCTTTCTCACCTGGATTTGTAAATCCCTTGAGGGCAGGTCTGCAGGGTTGATTGGGTGGCTGGCACTGAGTAGACACAGCAGGGAAGGATGCGTGGACATCTGATCTCTTCCTCCTCCCCTCCCTCCCTTTCCTGAGAAATGGCCTGAGCTCAGGCCAGGCAGGTGTGAGGGCCGATCCCTGGTTCATGCCTCCCACTCAGTCCCCCTTCTCTACAGGACCAAAGAGAGTGGTTTGCAAGCCCTCAGGGCTTGGACCTTGAGGGACATGTATTCCTTTTGCTGAGAGGAATAGAAGACATGGATGAGAGCCAGCTCACCTGGTGGAGACCCTGAAATCCCTTTCTCACCCATGGCTGCAGCCCCCTTCATTGTTGCGTTTCTTATGGCAGAGTAAAGTTTTCTACAGCAGACCATCTGGAGTTCCTTTGGGGTCATGTAATCCAATCTCATGGCTCTTGGTTTTGAGTTTTTTTTTAAGTCATGGAAAAAAGGGCAAAGAACAGTTTCTTGAATTGAACTCAGTAGTGATAAAAAAATTCTGCAGTTGATCACATTTCATATCTGTAAATAATATAATTACTTGAATAAACACTTTGCTATTCACAATGTCCTTTCACACAATTTCTTTTTTTTTTCAATTTTCTCAAAGTCTAGTGGGTGTCACCTCCATTACAAGATAAGACTGTTAGGGTTCAGATAGTAGATGTGGCTCAGAGAATGAATAGGTATGAAGGGGAGTCACACCCCATAGGTTTGTGTCTGGATCCTCTGTAAGGGGCTCCCCATGGGCCTGACCCCCCAGGAGGTGCTGGCTGCTGACCACACCTCTCTTGGATGAGTCTGTAGATTCTGATTTCCACACCTTCCTTTTGTCCACACTGACTTCCCCATCACTCTGCTGTAGCATAGCTGGGGCCAGAGTCACAGGAACGTAGGAACTGGGCTGACCCTTCAGAGCAGCTGGCATGCAGACACAGGAGCCAGCCTGGGGGCCCTGGCATGAAGCAGGCACTGGATCTGGGCTGCCTGGGACAGGGTGTTACCCTCTGGCTGAAGGCAGTGCCCCCAGAGAAACTCCGCTGTGTGCTTGCTTGCTATTCTCTGGCAGCTCTGGGCTGAGCGCCTGGGTCCTAACACGGGACCCCGAGTGGCCACTGCAGCATCCACTGCCAGCCTGCTGGACTCCACTGGGGCAGCCCTCTCTCAGTCACCTTTTCAGTCAGTGCCCGATTGCAGCAACCCACTGGGTGGCTATATTTTGAAAGGAGATAGTTGACACAGTGAGGATTTCAGTGTAGAAGACTACCACCAGGAGAGTGGTGTGGCCCTGGGACTTGGAGCTAGAATGCAGGTGAGCAGAAAGTGGAGGGGGTGATTTTACAGCACTCTTTCCAGCTGGAGTGTCCTGGCTGTGTGTGAGCAAAGCAAAAGACCTTACCTCTGAGATCTGCATGCAAGATCAGATATTCCTGGGATAAGAGCATCTTTGTAAGTCAGCCAGAATAAGTCTGGAGCCTTCTCCTCCCCTGCTGGGTCACTCATTCAGAACAGCATGGACTTAAACGAGCCCCGGTGGCCCCCTGGCACGTGGTCATGATTACGACTGCAGTGCGTTGGCCACTTGTAGTATCAGGTGGTCTGATACTACTCTTCCACCCTTGCATGTTCCTGTGAGATTTGGGGACTCTGGTCATCATCATTTAGAGATGAGAAAACAGCAGTTTCTTGGGGAGTTAAAGTATTTGTGGTTGGCAGGGATAGCATACAAGCTAGGTCTGGCAGCTTCTACCTCTGTGTGCTTGGATGCTCTTGAGTGGGAGGCAGTTGATACTTGCGAGGTCAGTAAGGAATGAACAGGTGGCCATGCGGATGGAAGCGTGCGGTAGGTAAGCTTTGAATGGGAGAAGGGACAAGAAACATTCCAGGGCTGGGCTGAGCAGGGAGAGGCGTTGGGGCCAGGCTGAGCATGTGCTCAGAGCACAGATGTGGAAGGAAGGAAGGCTTGGTCTCTGTGGTCCTCTGTCTTGTGACACAGCACCTGGTCCCTGTTCTCAGGAGGTGATGCTTCACGCCCCGACAGTGATGCCTTGCTCTCCTTTCTTCCTCTCTCCACCTTCAGCCTCAGCTTTCATCATCGCCATGCTCCTGGCCAGCCTCAACAGCTGCTGCAACCCCTGGATCTACATGCTCTTCACAGGCCACCTCTTCCAAGAACTTGTGCAGCGCTTCCTCTGCTGCTCATTCCGCTGCCTGAAAGGCAGCCGGCCTGGGGAGACGAGCATCAGCAAAAAGAGCAACTCGACCACCTTTGTCCTGAGCCAGCACAGCTCCAGCCAGAGGAGATGCTCACAGCCATCCACGGTGTGACTGATGGGGCCAGGACCGCCCTCCTTGGCTTGGACTGTGCGGCAGTGACAGTCTGGTTCTTGGTGGCTGTGTACATGTGTGTATAAGGTACCTTTCGGTTTGTACCCCCCTGTACCTTGGGCAGCTGGAGTTGGGTGGGGAAGCAGCCCCCATGGGGAAAGATGGTAGGGTGACTCAACCATCAAGCCAAGCCCTGGGTCTTCCGTAGGCTCCCACGGGTACTTCTCCTGCCCTGACCCCACTGCTGCCGTCCTTTAACAGTAAGTCCCCTACGTAAGAATGAGTTCTGTTCTGAGAGCACGTTTGTAAGTCTAATTTGTTAGTAAGTCTAACAGAGTTAGACTAGGTACCCAACTAACACAGTCAGCTATATAGTACTGTACTATAATAGGTTGATAATACTTTTCACACAAGTAATACATACATAAAACAAATGCAGAAAGTAAAACATTTTCAGTCTTATAGTAGAGTACCTTGAACAGTACACCCGGAATACAGGGGCTGGCATGCCTCTTTGAAAGTTTGCAACTAGAAGGTTTGTGTGTAGAGGACTTACTGTATTCTGGGATCTTGAGAAAGGTAGTAAGTATAAGATTGGTGACCAGATGGGTATAGAAGCCTAGTGTTCTGAGCTTGGGGTGAGGAATAGGACCTTGCTGGTGGTGGTGCTAATATCCTCCTGGCCTCAAAGTGCTTTTGCCTTTGAGTGGACTAGCATCCTTGAGCACCAACTTGTCTGAAGGTGGCCCTGGAACAGGGGATTCTCTTAGGAGACTGTCTGGCACAGGCAGCCAAGTAAAACTTGGGTTAAAAATGTTTGATATGCTAATACTTAAGAAGCATTTGGGAAAGAAAAAGGAAATAAAAGACATCCAAATTGGAAAAGAAGTAAAATTCCTTACAGATGATGCAATTTTGTATATAGAAAATTCTAAGGAATTCATGCACACATGTGCATACACAAACCCAGTATAACTAATACATGAATTCAGGGTTGTGGAATACAAAGTCAATACAAAAATCAATTGCATCTCTTTACCCTGGCAATGAACAATGTGAAAATAAAATTCAGAAATAATTCTGTTTATAATAGTATCAGAGAGAACAGGAATAAATTTAATGAAAGAAGTGCGAGACATATCCTGAAAACTACAAAGTACAGTTGAAAGACATTGAAGGCTTACATAAATGGGATGACACCCTATGTTTATGGATCAGAGACTTAAATATTGTTAAGGTGAAAATACTCTTCAAGTTTATATACAGATTCAGTGTAATCCCTATCAAAATCCTAGCTAGCTTTTTTGTGCAAATTGATAAGCTGATCCTGAAATTCACATGGAAATGCCAGGACCCAGAATAGCCAGATAAACGTTGAAAAAGAAGGACAAAGTTGGTGCATTCACACTGCCGGGTCAAAACTTACTATAAGGCTACAGTAATCAAAAGAGTGTGGTATAGACAAAAGAAGAGGCATATAAACCAGTGGAATGGAATGGCCTTGTGTTTATGGCCACTTGTTTGACAAGTGTGGCAAGAGAATTCAATAGGAAAGGTAGTCTTTTTGGAAAATGGTACCAGGACAGCTGGATATCCACATGCAAAAGAATGCAGTTGGATCCCTACCTCACACTACATACAAAATTAGCTGAAAGTGCATCAGCCTAAATATAAGAGCTATAACTATACTTAGAAGTAAGCAGGGATGAATCTTTGTGGCCTTGGACTAGGCCATGGGTTCTTAGATATGATACCCAAAACATAAGCCTAAGGAAGAATAGATAAATTGGACCTCGTCAATGGTGCACAAAACTTTTATGCTTCAGAGGGTACTACCAAGAAAGTGACAAAAAAACTCAGAATGGAAGAAGATACTTGGAAGCCATATACTCTTGTCTAGAATATATCAAGAACTCTTACTTTTTATCAGTAAAATGCCAAATAACCCAGTTTAAAATACGAGCAACATATTTGATAAACAAATGAGTAAACATATTTTTGTATCTTCTACAAAGAAAAGATATAAGTGGCTCATAAGCACATGAAAAGACTGTCAGTATCCCTATTCATGAAGGAAATGCAAATCAAAACCACCATGAAATAGCAGTGCACACCCACTAAGATGGCTCTAATCAAAGAGATAGGCAATGACAGGTGGGAGCAAAATTGGAACTCTCCTCCATCACTTGTGAGAAGGTAACATGGTGTAGCCACTTTGGAAAATAGTTTGGCAGTTCCTCAAAAAGTTAAACATAGAATTACCATATGAGCCAGAAATGCTACTCCTGGTTTTTACTCAAGAGAAATGAAAGCATACACATACATGAAAACTTTTATGTAAATGTTTCTAGCACTGTGATTTATGAGAGGCAAAAATGGAAATAACCTCAATGTCTATCAGCTGATCAATGGGTAAATAAATGTGGTATACCTATACAATGGCACATTATTCAACTATAAAATAAAATGAAGTACTGGCATATACTTCAACATGGATGAACCTGGGAAACATATTAAGTGAAAGAAACCTTGAGAAAAGTCACATACTGCATGATTCCATTTATATGAAATGTCAAGAACAGGCAAATCTGTGGAGACACATTACAGAATTGTGGTTACTAGGGGCCAGGAACTGGGGTGGGTGGGGAGTGACTGCTAAGTTACAGGCTTTTTTGAGGGGTAGTGAAGATTTTCTGGAATTAGTGATGTGTACATTTTGAGGATATGCTAAAAACTACTGCATTAATACTTAAAAAATATTTACCAACTGAATTTAGAGGCAACCAGCCTGAAGGGTAAATTTCTTAGAATCTCTTACTTCTCAGAGCTATTGTTTCCGTGTGACTCATCATTTCAGAAAAATCCATAGTTTTCTTTGTTTTCCTGCGAGAGGTGATGTTTCCGGTTTGACCAAAAGTACCAGCAGTGATAATACCTGGTAAACATGTTGTGAAATGTCGTCTCAGCCTTGAAGCACATGTGACCATGTCCAGGAAACACCTTTTGCTATTCAGTATAGGATGTTGTAGATCAGAGGTTTTCCGACTGGGACTGGCCAGCTCATTGGCACACTGGCACTCTTTTTTTGGTTTTTCGTGCACGTATTTTTGGACTCACTGTGATACAAGAGCGCTTCCTAAAGCCCCAGCTCTCCTCTCTCCACTTTCCTTTTCTCACTCTATACTGCACTGTATACACACATACACACACAAACACACTCGCACACAGTAGAATGAGCTAGCAGGTCCTGATGTTCAAGGAGAAGAGAAGCGTGTGCTGAAATGCCAGTGTTCAGAGCCCCACCATTTAGGACAAGATCTTTAGTACTACCTGAAGACAGAGGACAGTGTCAACTTTGAACCCACAGGCAGTGCAGTGTTGCTGTGACAGGTGCCTAGTGTCAACACCAGCCAGTCCTGGCTGCTTGGGGAGCTAACTGGATGCCAATTTGGGGTCTCCGTGCCCACCTCAAGGACACCAGGGCAGCCTGGGTGCAAATGCAGCGATGGCAGGGCCTGTTAGCATTTGAGCCTCTCTGCTCGCCGGCCGGAAATGCCCCAGTCTCTGCTGTCAACTGGGGAAGTTGCCATCCTAGCAGCCACCAGAGGCCACTGGGGATCAAGGAGACACCACAGCTCAAGTGATTTTTCTGACCACAGGCATAACCTTGCCAAGAACCCTGGAGCTGCAAGGTTCTTGGGCATCAGAACCAGCTGGGACACTTTCCTTGTTCTCTTGCTGTGGAAGCTGTGGTTGGAATTTTGGTTCTCATTATGGCACAAGAGTTTGTTTTATAGCCGATCAGTGACATTTGATTTCAGCAGCACCACTGGCTACGCACCTCTCCCCTCCCAATATTCCTGGAGAATATTTTCACAATTGATTGTTGCTTCCCCAACCCAAGCCTGGAAGAAGGCGATTAGGGGTCTGGAATTCTGCTTCAGACTGGGTTGTCTCTGTCTTCCTCCAGACCCAATGCCTGAGGTCCTCCAGCCATCTTTGCCTGCAGTTTCAGGACTGTTTACAAACCTAATGCACCTCTTGGTACCTGGAGGTGCCAATAAATTGGAGCATGAAGATTTTCTTCTGGAATGTTTCATTGTTCTCATGTTGAAAAGTGAAATGCGAACACTTGAAGACTCTGAGCCTTATTTCTTTATGTGCTGAAAAAAAATCTACCACACTGTTTGGTCTTCTTGGGGGATTGCTCTACAGGATGTGACTGCTGGAGGCTGCCTTAAGAAGATCCTGGTTTCAAAATGTGTAACTCTTTGTGTTTAATTGCAGCGAAGTGCCCCTAAGTGCAAAATGTAAATTCCTCGATTTTGTTCTGCTTGGTGAATTTCTATGCTGTCTCCTGTCTGTGCCAGTTGGGGAATGATGTACCCAACAATGAGATGCCTGCTTCAGTAGTTGCTCTATAAAAAGTGCACGTAATAAATTCATATTTTTCCATTTGTTGCTTTGCCCTTTTTCTTTCTCCTGAGAACAGTGACCATATCTGGAGGCTTGCAGACTTCAGTTCCCTTGCTGGGCTTCCCTTGAATATGCATAATCTGTCTGATTGTGACACAGGTGCATCTGGGCTGTGGCAGGTCGGTGGGTGGGGGTTGGGGAGATGGGCAGCAAGGGACCTGATCCCAGTCTCTTGGTTCACAGGTTCTCTCATTTATCAGAGTTCTGTTGGAAGATGTTCTAAGACCCATACACAAACCTCTTGTATGATGTAGCCATACCCACCATCTAACTCTGGGAGTTATGGGAGTCTAGATTGTCATCTTGAAGGAAGCTTAAGGCATATCTTTCTTCAAATGGGATGTGGGAGCTACCTGCAGAATCACAAATGGGTTTGTGGTCATTCCTGGTCTCCACTACTGAATCACAACCTATGTCTTAAACAAGAATACCTCATGAGCCAGATGTAGTGTATGAGAGTGGAATGCCACCCCCTTCTCTGGCCCATTCTCATCATACCCCTAGCGCGCTGTCCTGACTGCTACTTTTCAGGTGGGGTCACAGAAGGAACAACTCCTGCCATAGTCTGGCCCTTAGAGAAGGAGAGTGAGCTTGAAAAATTGGAGTCAGGGTCAAGTTAGGTCACAGTAAATGCCAAGATGGTCAAAAGTCTCTGCGTAACCCAAGACTCCAAGTCTGAAATGGTTGGCCCAACAATGTGAGAGATGTCTGAGGAGCAGGCCCTTCGAGGGGATATAAGGGGTACTTGCTTTAAACCTTTCAGCAGGAGGAGCTTGGACTCTTGAGTCCACTTGAGAATGTGCAGGGCCCTTGAGCAGAGAGCAGTGGGCTGGAACCACAGCATGAATGTGACTGGCTGTGCACCTTTTGACAAGTCTGACCTCTGGACAGTGACTTTCTTGTTTACAAAAAGTAAGGGATGACGATGAGTGTTTAAGAACAAAATATACGGACATCTGCAGCTTCTTTAAAAATGCAAAAGAAAGGGGAGAATGGCAGATGAAAGATGAGTAGGAATGTGTTGAAGGCAGAACAGTAAAATGTGAATTCTAGAGCCTAGATGGTGGGTAGATAGTTGTTCACAGAAGACATTTTCAACATTCCTCTGTGTTTGAAATTTTCATACTATGATACTCGAGAAAACAAAAGCAGGTAAAAAGAGCTTAAATGGACTTTAGAGATCATTTCATGGATGATAAAGTTGAGGCCAACTAGGAGAGGCAAGGATAGAATGGAGGCTGCTTCTAGCCCTGCCTCCTACGCAGGTGTGGTCCCCTCTGCCACGCCACCCCCAGGACCCTTGGGCTCATGGCCAGGTGCCAGTGAGGTGATGCCTCTGAAAACATGAAGAGTACTTTGGAACCTGAATTTCATGAGACTTATAGGTGTTGCTTAAAAAAAAGGGGGGGGGGTGTAAAATAGGATTGGAGGCTATTGGCCTAAATAGCTCTCTTTACTGCAGGACTTGTCAGAGCCTTTAACATTCTAATGTCTACTGAATGTCTAATGAAAATCTCAGAGAGAAATATAATACATTTTCCAAACAAATTTAAGTGTAAAAGCTGCCCCCTGCATTTTCTGAGGACTTAGTTCTAGATAACACACTTGGGGAAAGCATCCCTAAAGAATGAAAGATTTCTGGTTTTCTGAGTTTTTTTTCTTGCTGAGGCTAGGTGGGCAGGAGGTGGACCATGCTTTTTCAATGCTTTTATTTGGTCCACATGTGAAAAAATTGGACCATATGCCCTCATCACGTCCCTTGGGGCTGAGGGTGTACATGCCAAGAGGCGATGCCAGGGGCTCAGTGTCTGAGTCGAAAGGGAGGTTTGAACCCAGGCCCTGCTTTCAGTGGAGCCCAGGGAGTGTCATCTGCCCCTTCCAGCCCAGGGGCCATTTCCTTCTGCGAGTAGCCCCTGGCTGGCCCAGGGGCATCAGAAGTCATTGGGGAATAATCTCCCTAGGAGCGCAGTGGAGGAGATACCCAGCAAACAAGAATCCCAGGAGAAACCAAACTGGTTCTTGCATTTGGCTGAGAGATGGGTTAGCCAGCTTGACCCTTCTGCTTCTCAGGGCAGTGAAATATATTTTTGGAGCTGATCAGGGCACGTACCCACATTGTGGACAGATGAAAAACAGTGTTCTCCAGATGCAACCGAAACCCTTTATTGGAACCACCCTCCTAATGCCGGCAGTCACTGGTGGTTTCTTGGGGCAGGGGTAGGGTGTCCTGGGTGGAAACTGTGGGCCGGTATATGCTGTTACAGTACAAGTGAATGCAAAGATTTGCAGTAGCTGCCTCTGAGCACATGATCTTCCCTGGCGCCCAGTCAGGGGGCATCGTGGTTCGGCAGGGGGCAGAGGGAAGGCCACTGTGCTTCCGTGGTGGACTGTCTTTTCTCTCTGGCTTCCCTACTCTCTGTGCTCCCATCTTGGGGGGCAGCAGTGGTCCCCAAGGAGAAAGAGCCCATCAGCAGCCCCACGAGCAGTGGGCTCCCCTGCCCCGCCGCCCCATCACCCACCCGGCCTCACACTTCCTTCCGCAGCATCACCTTGATGTTGCTGCAGACCTGGCCCAGGGCAGCAAAGAGTGGGTTGCAGAAGGTGCGGATGCAGAGCGAGTAGATGTGGCTGATACACTGGATCTCGATCAGGTAGCTCTTGATGCAGGGCACCACCGCCCAGATGTGGCAGAAGGAGATGCAGGCGAAGAGGAAGCCCCAGAGCAGAGCCAGCGGGACGCCCAGCAGCGTGGACAGCAGGCGGTAGCACCAGTACTTGGAGACGGTGAAGGTGGTGTAGCTCACCTTCCACACACCGTCGAAGCTGTAGGTGCCCACGGGCTCCGCGATCACGTCTTCAAAATCCACCTGCAGGGCAGGAGGGGGAAGCCTCAAGTCACGGTGTCACCTATTTCTTAAGGGCTAGAACCGCCTGAGTGGGCTGTTAAAGCTGGTGCCTGGGCCACACCCACCGGGCTTCTAACCCCTGTGAGTCCAGGTGGGGCCTGAGACTGCATTTCTGGCCAGCTCCCAGGTGATGGCTGGTGTTGCCCTAGAGTGGTGAGGCATAAGAGCTGCTCTTCTCCCCTCACTTATGGGGGGGAGAAGAGGCTCCAAGGAGTTGATTGACTTAAACTGTAAGTTATAGGCTGGCCAGGAGACTCTGAAATTATATTATTTTATGATCCTAGGGAATTGGAACAACAGTAATCCTGGAAAGATTTACTGGGTGCCTGCTGATAGGATGGCAAACAGGTAAAGGTTCCTGCCCTCCTGGACTTTATGGCCGCAGAGAGAACAAGGCCAGTTCTCTGGTAAGGGAAGAACAGGGGCCGTGTGCACCCACAGGGTGACGTTTGACTCAGCCTGGGGGTAAAGCTTCCTGGAGGAGGCGGTGTCTGGCTAAGCTGATTCCTGGTGGTAGCCAGGTGGTGGGCGGAGGTGTGGCTGGAAAAGTGTTTGGGGCACCAACTGCTGGGACCTAGTGGGATAGATAGTGTGCTCTCTCGGGGAGTTCCAGGCCTTCTGGGAGACCGAGCGCAGGCCCACGACGGCCAGAAGGAGGCTGGAGAGGCCAGAGGGGGCAGGCGTTGTGCAGAGAGCCACCTCCGAGTGAGGGCTTTTGCGCCGGGAGTGGCTTGGCTGGATCGTAGCCTTCTTTCAGTTGAGGTGTAATTGACACATTACATTAGTTTTAGGTGTTCAACATAGTGATCTGATTTTTATATTTCAGGAAATGATCACCACACTGAGTACAGGTAACATCTTTGTGTACATGTGATGAGAACTTTTATGGCTTACTCTCAGCAGCTTTTAAATATACAGTACAATATTATTCATTGTGGCCACCATGCTGTACTGTACATCCTTAGGACTCATTCATCTTATAACTGGAAGTTGGCACCTTTTGACCCCCTTCACCCATTTCACCTCCTCCCTGAGCTTCCTCCCTCTCTTCTGGAAACCACCAGTCTGCTCTCTGCATCTCTGGTCTGAGTTTTGAGTAGCTCATCCTGGCTGACATGACCTGGGGTGGTGGTTGGGGTGGGGGTGAGGATGCCTGTGGGGAGAGGCCAGCTGGGCGGTGTCGCTGGATCCAGCCTTGTCCAGGGTGATGGAGGAGGCTAGAGGAGGTGCACTGGTCTGAGCTGTTTCAGGATTGGCCGGTGGTGAGGTGAGGACTGTGTTGTCCTGGCTGGTGGAGGCATCTGGTATCTGAGTGCTTCACCTGGGGAGTGCAGCATTGTTCTCTCTGCCCTGGTCCTGCAGCAGCCTCAGACTTTCCTCTCATGCTGCCTACTTGGTCCTTTTTTTTTTTTTTCCTTTTTAAAATCTTTTTGGCTGTACCGCATGGCATTTGTGCTCTTACTTCCCTGACCAGGAATCAAACCTGCGCCCCCTGCATTGGAGGTGTGGAGTCTTAACCACTGGCTCACCAGGGAAGTCTCCTCCCTGTCCCTCCCTTGCAGTTGGGAAGAAGGTGGACACTCAAAAGAGAATCCTGCTCACACATCCCACTGAAATGGTGACTGAGGCCCCATTTGAGAAGTGGGAAAAAATAAAGATTGCTTTCAGCCAAGTCACTTCACTAACCTTTCGTGAGTCCCTACTATGCCTTAAGAATCATCATGCTGCTTCCTCATGTGTGACGTCATGTAGTAGCACTGAGCGTTAGCTGTCTCACCTGTAAAATGAGAGGCAGTGTGTTCCTGGGCTGCTCTAACAGCAGTTGGTTGAATAAATGCACAAATGAGTCCGACTAACTGGAGGGTGGGGAGTCGGGCCAGTGAGCTCAAACCTCAGTCTCCCATGCAGACCCTTTTCCCACTTTTGAGGGGGAAGGAAGGAGATCCTCTCTATGAATGAAGTTATTATTAAAATTGCTTTTCCTTATAACATAGCCACCTTGCAGAAAATTAAGGGAGTAGGAGAAACAAAACACATGCATCTCCAGTTTACATTTCTCTACTAGTAATACTAAAATTATTATTGCTTTGATGCTTTTCTTTGCAGTGTAAATCTTCTGAGGGGTGGGGAGTGGATATGACCATGTTGTATGTCCATTGTTGAGTCCTGTTTTTGTCATGTGGCTGGATTCTGAGCTCCTGGGCCAGGCCTCAGATCCCTGGGTCCCCCTGGAGACAGCTGAGGATACAGCCCGACACTTGGAGTGATATGTTGATGGGGAGCAAAATTCACAGGATGAAATTTCAGGCTGCAGGAGATGTGCACAAGTTTACTTGGGGAGTCAGAGGGCCTTTTTAGATCCACTTGTAAATCTCAGCCTCCAGCCTTCTCTTCTTGGGGCTTAGTGGAGATCACTTAACCTCTCATACAGTCAGTCAGCCCCCTGAATGGAAGGGAAGGGCTGGAAGGAAAACTGGGAATATGGTCCTCATCTCCTCCAAAAGAGAGCACTGATTCCTGGAGGGCTTCTAGGAGGTGGTAGCTGGTGGGATATTTGGAGTTAGAGATGCAGGAGTCTCCAGTCTCTAGATCTAGTGTTGGATCTTTGGAAAAGAAAGCCCAAGTTGGTTGGGGAATGTCCCATGGCTTTGGAGAGTAAATAGAAATAACTGTTATCTTTCCACATCTGGTTTATGTGGGCAGAAATCCAGAGTTGCTGTTTCTTAGGGGAGTTGAGATCCAAGAAGCCGAGGAGTATAGGCCCCAGGGGACCATTCCAGCTTTGCCCTGGGTACACACACTAAAATTGTGGAGTTTCAGCCAAATCCCCAAGGCTTGGATCCTGCCAGCTGAGGGATTCTGACCTCCACAGTCGGCCCCTTCCCTATCGTGGTCATGCCTGCCTGTGCCCGAAGCCTTCTAGTGCCTGGGCTGGGCTCTGGATCCTGCTGCAGTCCTAGGAGCGTGGCAGTGGAGGCAGGCCTTTGGGTGGAGGCGTGCTCCCTGCCTTGTGCTCCTCTGTCCTGTTCAGTGCCTGGGGCCTCTCCCTCCCTGCTGTGACTCTTCCTTAGGATCCTGTCCCACACCTCGAAGATGACCCCGCCCTGCCTCCTCCCCTTCAAGCTGAGCGCCAGGTGCATCTAGGCATCCTGATTCTACTCTGAGCTCTTCACACAGCCCCAGCCAGGGTCAGACCTGAGGCAGGTACTGGCGTCCAGGGAGGGAGACTGTTCCCTCTGAGATCTGGTCCTAGTCTGCCAGAGACACCTGCCCCAGGGCAGGGCCCCCGGCCCCTTCTTTGCAGCCACCCACTCTGCTCCAAGCAGTCAGCAATTCCCCTGCCCCTCTGTAGCCCAGCCTGCTTTGTTCATGTATTTCAGCATATTCCTCCATTCAACAACGTTTGATTATCTGTATCTTGGCCTCTAAGGGTGGAAGGGGCCCTGACTATCTCATACTGTTGAGGTTTGCATCCAGTTGTGTCTCTTACTGGCTCTGTGACCTTCAGCAAGTGTCTCAGCTTTCCTATGCCTCGTTTTCTTAGATTGATCTCATTAGGTTTATCAGAGCATTGAGTAAGTTAAGACATGTAAATACTCAGCATATTGTCTGGTACAGGATCCTGATCACTAACTGTTACCTGCTAATGGCTGTTAGAGTGCTTTCTTCAACAGAAGCTAGGGTCCCATAGGTGTATATGCACAGTTGCTGATCTGATGAATGACTTTGGCAATAATGTAACCTCTTTGAGCTTCACTTTCTGATCTGTAAAATGGGTTTGCTGTGTTTTACAACCTTGTTATGAAGAATAGACATAATTTCTTTTCTATCCATCTGTCTCCTACCATTTGTTCATCTACCCATTCATCTATCTTGTCTGTTCTCCCATCCATCCTGCCATCCATGGATCCATCAGTTCACCCATATGCATCCATCCATTCATATCCATCTACCTTTCATCTATCTATCCTCCCATCTGTCCATCCTCATCCACCCATTCATACCTATCCATCCATTCAGCCAAACAAATACTTATACCCACTTTGTGCTAGGCACAAAATGGGTCTGACCCTGGCTGGGGCTGTGTGAAGAGCTCAGAGTAGAATCAGGATGCCGAGATGTACCTGTCACTCAGCTTCAAGGGGAGGAGGCAGGGCGGGGTCATCTGTGAGTTGGGGTACACGATCCTAAGGAAGAGTAACAGGATTGTGCTAAGCACATCCTCGTGGGCAATGCTTAGTACAGTACATGGCACCTGGTAGGTACCCAGTGACATAATCATTTGTTCATCTGCTTTAAAGTTGCTGTGAAAATTTATCTCAGAAAATCTCTTGGTACCCCAGATTAAAGTGCAATGATTCTCCAGTCTACCTGGTCATAAATGAGTGTGTGCACATGTCCATAAGATGGATGGGTTCCTCTTGTCCCTCCTTTTCTGCTTATGGTAATACTCCTACTGCCAAGAACCTCTCTATGATGTCTTTTAATGATCATCCTTTTTTTTTTTTTTTTTTTTGGCAGAAGGCAGAAGCTGTTGTTCCTGAAATTTGAATTCCTTTTAGTAATCACCTTCTGGCATTGTGCCCAGGGCAACTTCTCTATTGTCTGTGAACCTGAAATCATGCTCCCAGAGAGAGGGGCCATTCTGGGAGGAAGCAGCCGTTCCCTTAACCAGGACTGAGACCGCTCTGGTCACCATATTACTTGGGGGAGATATTTATAAAGCCCAACTCAGGCAGCTCTAGGCAGACGTGCCAGTGTATCAGAAGCACACAGTGACTTCATTTCTTAATTCGTTTCCGGAAGTGGAGGGGAGATGACTTTTTCTGGGAGGGTGGAGTGGGGCTAAGTCCATGGGCAGAGATGGAGGGCTGGGTGTGCGGCTGGAGGAGGGGCTGGGAGGGGTAGAAAGTGGCGGCTCATTTAGCTGGTGTCCCCTTCTCTGGCATATTTATTTTTGGAACAGCAAGAGAGCTAGTTGATTCATTGGAATCGGCCAACAGGACTCCTGCCATTTCCAGGAGGGCAGGGAAGGTGCAGGGGAGCTGGGCTGGGCGCTGTCCAAGGATGCGAGGGAGGCCAGCAGCCACCCCCCACACCCCCCCAATCAAAAATGCCTCCCGACATTCCTGCGTGACTCAGTCTTTGTGCACGCGGGGCCTTGCAGGATTCAGACAGGCTCTCCGTAGGTGGGGGAAATGGCTCTAGGCAGGGGGATAGACATCTGGGTCAGGTCTCTACTTGGCCACTGAGTTACTGTGGGATTTGGGGTCTGGGGCCTTCCCTCTCTGGGCCCCCTTTTTTTGTTTGACACTGCCAAGAGGATTGGGCCAACATCCTTAGTGAAACAGAATTAGTTTTGACTAATTGACTAAGTCAAGACCCGATGAGTGCCTTAGCTTCGTGGGGTCTTGGTTTTGTCACCTGTTATCTAGCTACTCAAAGGGTGGTCCACAATCAATGTGCTCCTCCCAACAAGGTAAGTACTCAAGTTGAGAGCAGGCATTTTAGAAATAGTTATTTCAGATAGTAATTTTATGTCTATTGATTCTAGTAATAATAAAAATTGGATTTTACATAGTCAATACCTATTTTTCACTGCATCTCTCTAGTAGTTAATTTTGATTGACTTTTGCAAACTATTGGTGTACAACAGATTGGAATAATAACAATAAAACTGGCCCTTCACCCAGACAGCCTGAGCAGCACTGACCTCTAAAGTAGGAAGCTAAGATGTGGTGATAGCTACAGAATAGCTGGAAAATGGCAAAGCTTTGCTTCCTGTGTTGCAACTGATAATAACAGCAGTAGAATTCTGTGCCATCTGGGATGACCATAGTAAGGCCCACAATTTGGCCCTTGTAGGTGTCAGTTTGGGCCATTTGTCTTATATCCAGTATTCCACCCAGCTTATAAGGGACAAGCAGGGGTGGAACCCACATCAAACCTTGAGCCTCAATTTCTCCTGCCATCTCCCTGACTAGGGTCATTGCAGGACCTGGTTCCTTAGCCAGAGGTGAGGCAAGGATGAAGCACAGGCTGGTTCTGGGAGTGGGATGAGGGGGCCAAGTACTAGTGGGTGTTTGGGGTCCAGATCATCCTACGGGGAGCGGGGGAGGGCAGGAGGGCTGGGGCACCTGGCCTGAAGCTAAGGACATAGATGAAGGAGCTCTGAAGAGACTCAGATAACAGGGGGCATCAGGGAGGAGAGAAGGGTCCCGTCAGAGGAGTCCCCATCAGATCTTAGTGAACCCTGCCCTTGCCCATCTCTTCGCATCCTCTCCCTGGCCCCCTTGGTTCCTGCCTTTGTGAAGGTTGTTGTGGTGGACTGGAGAGTAGTAGGAACTGCCTTCGGTTGACTTCTAGGCTTGGCTGTGCACCAGCTTCCCGAGGGACGTTAGCTAGTCTCCAAAGACGACCCCCAGTTAGTGATGCCTGTCAGGGCTTCTGGCTGAGCACAGCCTCAGTCTGGGCGCGCCTTGTGACTTGCTTCACTGCCAGGATGTGGCAGAGGAGATGCTGCCACCGAGACCTGCAGAGCTGCCCAGTCAAGTCCAGTCAACCTACGGAACTGAGAGAGCCTCGAAGGGCTGTGGCTTTCAGCCATCAAGTTTTAGGATGGTTTGTCACACAACTGATACTGTGCACCTTTAAGGAAAACTAGTGACGACTCTGGACTCCAGGCGTATCTTCTGTTGGACCAAGAGGACTTGCTAGCTCTTGAAAGTACAAAACATTGACTAGGTCTGCCACATAAGAATTTCTAGAGGTAGGGCCCGGAAATCTGCATTTTTAACAAGTGCGCCCAAGAGAGTTGACCACATTTTAAAATATCCTAGTTCATAACACAGGAGTCCCCATAACACCAAGTTACAGATACCTCAGTAATTGTGAGTTAGTCCAGTGTAGCCCTTCTTAGAGGTGCTTGCCAGGGGGCAAGCTGAAAAGTTTTCAAATGACGGAGTTGCCAGTGTGGAATGCCTGGCAGATTATGACCTTTCCTAATTCAGCATCATCCTGAGAGAAGGCTTCTGCCTTCTCTCCTGTAAGTTCAGGTATTTCTAATCCTGTTGTTCTCCTGCAGACAGTGTAGCAAAGAGGTTTCACCTGTGTGCCAGCTTGGCCAAGCCTATGGTCCATGGCTTCCTGGAAATGTGCTGTGATTCATAGTGATGTCTGCCTTGGATGTAGACTGGGGAGTGGCAGTGCCCGATCCTCACCTTTGCTGATGCTCCCAACATTCTGCTCCATGTTGTGACCTTTGCTTATTTCATTCCCTCTTCTTGGAAAGCCTGATGGCCCCTTTCCACATTGTACATTTTTCTCATTATTTATGCAGCTTGGATGACACCTCCCCATGAAGCTGGCTCTTGATGTTCCAAGTGCCTTCCTCTCTCGACCTCCCATGACCCTACAACTGATGCTGAGTTACGGTGTTCACCACCTCCTCCTATACATTCTCATTAATGTAGCCTCATCTACTCTGTTGGGTTGGATTCTTCTCAAGAGGAAGCCCCAGGTCAGTCACATCTTCATGCAATAGGGTGTCCAGGTGGGCCCACACTGAGAGCAGAGTTTGGAGGACTGGGGGGAAGAGGGAGCTGTTGGGTTCTCGAGGTACTTATTAGCTTGAGCTCAGCAGCAGAAGGTGGTGTTTGTGTGTTTTACTGGAGGAGGAAGGCGTGTGTGGCGGATATGGGTTGGAGGTAGGTGGGAACTGGTATGATGGGCTGGGATCAGGTCTGTTTGAAGGGTTTTCAGAGAATGGCCGAAAACAGAAACCAAATGACCCGCCTGACACAGGGGTCAAATGTCCTGCTCCAGTGCCCAGCTGCCCAAGCGTGAGTTGTCAAGGAGACAGTCCTGAGACCCCTCTCAGATAATGGGCAGACTGTGGGGGTGGGGCTGGGGTCCTGCAGAAATGCATGGGGGAGAGGCTTTGCAGTTTGGGTCTGAAGGGAACAGTGTCCTAGCTGGCTGGTTAGGGGACCACTGGGGAGCCCTGGCCCTCATTTCCTGCCCCAGAGCCTGGCACAGGGCTCACAGACAGTGGGTCTGACTTGCTCATCACCATCTCCTTGGCAACAGCCCAGTGCCTGGCACAGAGCAGGCAGTGATTGGCGGCACTGATGTTCTGTGAATGGTGGTGGTGGGGGAGGCAAAGGCAATGGGGTGGCCTCCCCTCTGCCCAGGACCAGATCAGAGCATGGAGACTACAGTGAAGTCTGTTGGGTTGTGCAGGGCTCTCCCTCTGCCCTTGGCACTCATTTTCCATCCTGGGTTCAAGGGCAACACCAGACCTTGCTCAGTGAAGTTCAGTAAAGTTTCAACTCTGGAAATCCAAAGGGAGCACCTCCTCCTCCTGAGGGTCAAATCCATGGAACCAGTGAGTGAATCTCCTGTTCTCCACTGTTGGCTTTTCTGAGTGAAAACTCAGCAGCACCAGTAAGGGAATGGGTCTCCCTTCTTTCTACTCAGGGCTTCCCTGGTGGCTGAGACAGTAAAGAATTTGCCTGTAATGCAGGAGACCGAGGTTTGATCCCTGGGTCGGGAAGTGACCCTTGAGAAGGAAATGGCAACCCACTCCAGTGTTCTTGCCTGGAGATTTCCATGGGCAGAGCAGTCTGTTGGGCTATATAGTCCATAGGGTCACAAAGAATTGGACTCGACTGAGCAACTTTCACTTTTTCCCACTCAGCCTCTGTCTACACTAGGGACTGAGGCCCAGAGAGGGAAAGGGATTTGCCCAGAGTCACATAGCAAGTTAGTGTCAGGATGGGACCAGGCATGGGTCTCTGTAGCCCATTTTACTACAGTGTCTTACTGTGTTCTCCTTGCCCACGAGTAGCACCAGCCTTCATCTTGGCTTCACCTTGTTTCTCTTTCTCTCCAACTCTGTCCCCCTCACCCCTGTCCTTTGCTCGATTGATGAAAGACATCCGGGTGATCCAAAGGCCAGTCTGTCCAGGTAGACCCCTCTCTTCTAGCCACATTCTTCCCTGTTTCTTCCTTTCATTTATTGTTTCACAGTCCATTACACCAACCTGAAGTCTCCTTGAATCTTTCTGTAGTATTTAGCTGATTCTGGTTTATAATCCCTGTTCTAAATTTCAAAACATTTTCATCTCTTACTCATTAAAAAGGAAAGAAAAAGTCAAATAAGTTTCCAGACCAGCTTATCCTCAGTATACTTCCCTTGTGGCTCAGGTGGTTAAGAATCCACCTGCAATGCAGGAGACCTGGGTTCAATCCCTGGGTTGGGAAGATAACCTGGAGAAGGGAAAGGCTACCCACTTCAGTATTATGGCCTGGAGAATTCCATGGACTGTATAGTCCATGGGGTTACACAGAGTCGGACAAGACTGAGTGACTTTCATTTCACTCTCAGCAGGAATGTTTGTGGGCCTTTCGCTTCACCTTGGAGGTCTGGTTTTCTGTGGCTCAGTGCCTCTAGTGAGGGTAGCTTCTAGTCCCCGGGAGGCGACATAAGCAGCTGCACCAGTGTGGCCACTCCCATCCCTCCCTTGAGTTATAGTCTGGGCCTGGAGCCCACTCAGTCCTGGCTCACTGGGACCCTTGAGCCTCTCTCCACTTGTCACCTGCTGCAGGAATCCTGCAGAAACCACCTTCTCCCTTGGGATCCTCTTCTCCATCCCAACAGAGGGCAAGGGACCACCAGAGCAGAACCTGGGCATCAGAGCTGCCCCTGGCTTAGTTCTTTTGCAATTACAAGCTCCTCCAGGCTCCTATCAGCTCACATTTGCACACCCTTGCTTTGTGCCAGGGACTCTGTTAGGCATTTTCAAATCCCTTATCTCATGTAATCCTCATGGTCTATTTCTATTGCACAGTGCTGCTCTGAGATCCATTTACCCCGTAGGGATGGGGGTGGGTAAATTATGAACATTTTATAGAGAGTCTAGTGTCATTGTTTTTAGGTAGAAGAGTCTGGATTTGAAATCAGATCTGTTAGTGTCAAGTCTGGGTCCATTCCCCCTAGATCACACTGCCCAAACCATGACAAATACTACTTAACGTTTTTATAGTGCTTTTAAGTTTGGAAAACTCATTCCCTAATTTTGCTGAACTTTCCAAGCTGTGTTGTGATTGCACTATCTCCACCACAAATGATACTTATAAATACAATAATATCATAATATGAACTGTTACAGAGAAATGTCCTGAGTGACATTTCTCTCAGGAGAAAAATGCAGTCACAGAGGAAGGAGCTCCCGATTCCCCAGGGGAGTTGGGGAAGGCTTCTTGGAGGAGGTGACATTTAAATTGGGTCTCAGTGGCTGAGTGGATCCTACACCACATGGAGGAGATGAAACAGGCATCATGCCAAAGACACAGGAGTATGCTCTGGTTCCTGTGACTGGCTCCTGACATGGGGGCGGGAGGTAGAAGAGGAAGGTGGGGGCCAGATTATGCTGGGGTTCAGAAGCCATGGGGAAAAAGTTAGACTCAGCCAGCATGGGAGGTGTCCCGCTGAAGGTGACCATGCAGGGTGGTGCTTAGAACAAGCCTTTAACCACGCTGTCTAACCAGTAGCCTTGAGCTATGTATGAGCGTTTGACCTATGGTGAGTACAAATAAAGAATTTACTTAAAATGTAAAAACCAATAGTTAATCCTATGACTGGGAAACTTGTAAGAATGTTTGGAAAAGTTTGGGCTTGTGAATCAATTTTCAACTATGCATTTTATGAAATCTAGATTCATAGAGTTCAATGAAAAATATTGTGAAAATTAACTTCACCTGTTTGTTTTTCCATTTTAAACTCATGACTGCTAGAAAATCTAAAGTGACATAGACTAGTTGTATAATGGGTCGCATTATATTTTTACTGGATGGGGCTGGTCTGTGTTTCTGATGTATTCAGAGGACCCTAGAGGCCCCTTCACGTGCCCTTTTAAAGGCCTTTCCAGTGACTCTGATGCTCGTGGCTAGGCACCCTGCTCCCAGGAATTCTGCTGTAGTAAGATGCCTGTGGCTATTGGGTGGAGGTTGGACTGAGGGGCCTGGAGGCAGCCAGGCTGCTGGTGGCATGTGGACAAGGAAGGAGGCCTGACTCAGGCACGGCCATGGGGGAGACTCCCTGAAGGCAAGGTAACCCTCATCTGAGATCCTCTTTCAAGGGCCCTGGTGCCCTCTGAGGGCCTCTGCCCTGCCCAGGCCACTGGACACTGGCGTTGGGCTGGGAGCAGGCACGAGTGCTGACCACAGCCCCCCAGGCTGGGGCAGTGGGTGTTGGGTGGTGCCCTGGGGAAGCTGGGCCCCCTGTGAGGGGCCAGGAGCCCTGCTGGAAGCTACCCTCTGGGGATTAATCCCAGGCCCACTGTGGAGACCGCAGAATGCCCCTGGCACACAAAGGGCCCAACTTGACCACCGTGTCTGTCCCCGGCCAAGGGCCAGCAGCAGATGGGGAGAGCGGCAGGGTTGTAAGGAGCTTCCCCCTGTGTATGGTCCTGCATGTGTGGCTGATTCTTTGCTCTTGTTTACACAAAAGATTCTTTGGGGGTACAAGCTGGTTTCAGAGCGGGTATTTGGAGAAGCCAGGGAGGAATGGGAAAGCCGATGGTACTGGAGCAGAGCCCACTCCCATCTAGCACCGAAACCCACACCCTTGGGCAGGCAGCACCAGGGCTAGCCCGTAAGCCTACCTTCACTATGTCCTCGTTAATGTTCTTAGGGTCCCGGTTCACCAGATCAATCTCCTTGAAGTGAATGTCCTTGACGATCTGGGCTTCCAGGTCTGTGTGCTCCTCGGCCATCATCGTGGAGCCAGGGGACCCGCGGGAGGAGATGGGAGCCGTGTGGCCGGCGGGGCTGAAGAGACCTGGGGCCCAGACACCAGTGTCCCCAGACTTGTGCCCCTGCTGGCTAAATAGGCCCCACCCAGCGTGCCGGCTGACAGCTGTCCCGCATAACTTCAGCCTGCCGCTGGCTGAAGCCTCCAGTGGCAAGCCTCCAAGCTAAAATTAAGACTGGAGCCCTGCTGGAAGACCCAGCACTCCTTAAAGGGGGCTGCGTGGGAGCTGGGCCTCACAAGTGAGTCAAGGGCCTGGCATCCCCTGATGCCACCGTGGTCGGCGGCTGCTATGCAGCCCTGGTACCTGTGTTTCTGCCCCCAGCTTGGCTTCTTGCTGGCTGCGTGAGCTTGGGCGCAACTTGTCTCTGGGCACCACATCCCCACTTGTAAAATGGGGCCATAATAGCACCAATCGGGGCTCTGCTTAACCTTGTGGAGAGGACACAAGCTTGTGGGGGGAAGGGCTTTAGAATGAAATCGGTCTCTGGTGGGGATTCTCGTTGGAGCAGTTGGCACCTGCCCTGTGGTTTGGTGGCCCAAAGCAGGGCTGAGGTTTTCCCACCTCTGGGGTTTCCCCTGGATGGGGGTTGATGGACTGTGGTTTTGGTTGGGGCTGGGGGAGGGTGAGATGGGAAGGAGACCACTCATGGGGTTGTCCACCCTCCTTTGCCTTTTGATACCACGTGGAAGACATGGAATCCATATTTACCCTGCCCTTTGCCCTGTCCCCAGGGACAAGCTTCCAGGATATCCCTGGACCCCAAGCACAGCACGGGCATCGGGCAAGCACCTCTTTCAGGTGTCTGGTCAGTTTCCCTGCATCCTTCTTCAGTCCAGCCATCACCCAAGGCCCCTGCCGCATGAAGGATGAAGACTCTGAATCCTCAGGTGGCAGGGTCTGTGCATTCGTTTATCATCCACCAACTCATCTCAAAATTTGCCAAGAGCTAGGATAAACAGATCGGTAAGTATCTGTCCCTGCCTTCTGGGGAGCCCACAGCCTAAGGTGACAGACTGATCAGAAAAATAAATAATTGTAATAATGTGTGGCAAGTACTGCAGGTTAATTTACAAAGAACTTGTCTTAGAAGCCCATGGGAGGTAATGGCTTACTCTGTGGACCTCAGGGAAGACTTCCTGAAGTAAGTGGCTTTAGCCACTCAAGGCGTTTACCACACAGAACATTTCAGGTTGAGAAGTGTAGCAGAGGACTATTATGAGCCAGAATGCTGAGAATTGTGTAGTGGCTTGAGCACATGTTGTCTGAGGGGTGAGGGAGGGGGTAAATCTTGATTCCGGCCTGGGTGTGAAGAATCTCAAATGTCATACTGAAGAGTACAAATTTGTCTAGAAGTGCTGGGAAGCCAGTGAAGGCTTCATAGCAGCAGAAAGTCTTTAACAGATTCACATGTAAGGAAGATTTGATTGGAGCTGGGTGAGGTTTGAAACAGGAAGACTAAGCTAAAAGCTGGTGGTGGTAAAAGACTCTTATCAATAACTGTACTTGGATACAAGTAGTAAAGATACAAAATAATATATCCAAGATAGGGCCTTTTTTTTTCTCTTTTGCTTAATACAAATCGATACTTTAAAACTACTGTGGTGGCTCCATGGTGTTATCAGGCACCAGCCCTCCATCTTTCTGTTCTATTCTCAAAGCTACCTTGTAGCACAAGAAGGATGCTACCCTTCCAGTCATCATGTCTGAGTCTAGACAAGAAGAGTGAGGCAAGGGCAGGGTAGGAAAATGCATCTGTCAGCCAAGTCAACTTCATTAGAAAACTTTCCAGGAGGTCCTTCATGACAACCGTTTATTTCTCACTAACCATCTGTCTTGGCAACGCCAGGAAGTGTCGATATTTAGCTGAGTACAGTTTCAGCCTACACAGTATCACTAGTGAAAATTGTTAGCAACTAGAAAATTCTGTCCTGAAATCTCTTAGGAATTACATTTTTTTTTTCAATCCCCCTACCTGGGACCCGGGTCCTAGGGATATATATATACCTCCTCCTGCAAAGAAATTAGGACAAAGGTTATTGCTGCTTGTGTTCGTATGGGCTGTGGCAGGAATCTGAACCTGAGCTTGAGCTTTGCCCACTGCAGGACCAGATATATCTGGTAAAAAGCTGGAGCACGGTCAGAAGGGATGGAGGAGCCACCGGATGGAGACCCATCCTAAAGGAGAAGTGATGATAAAAGATAATAGTAAGGATTATAGAGATTGTATTTTTCAAAGGCGGCCGCATCTGTGCTCTTACAATGGTACTGACACCCCTTCCAGCAAGATTGGCTCACAGAGTCTAGCAGCACTGATTCTCCGTGACTTTGGGGCCAGGCTGTGAGAAGGATACAGCTTCCAGGATCTCTCCTCCCCAGACTGTTGCCCTTGGAAGTTAGATGCCACACTGTGAGGAAGCCCAAGCTGGCTCATGGGGAGAGATCACAGGCAAAGGAACCAAGGCTCCCAGCCATCAACCAGAATCAACTGTTAGATGTGTGAGTGAGGGAGACTTTGGATGACTCTAGACCCTAGATTTCAAGTCACCCTTAAACCTTCATGCCTTCCAGGTGAAGCCCAAATGTCATGGAACAGACACAAGCTGTTCTCTCTGTGCGCTGAATATCTAAAGCGCAGAGTCCACGAGCAGACTTTTCCTGCATCACTAAATTTTGGGGTAGCTTGTCTGACAGTCATAGCAACTGGAACACGGTGATAACAGCAGTGACAGCCGCTGCTGTTTGCGGAGGTTCCCTGTGTGCTGGTGCCTGGCCAACGCACCCTAGGTTTGTGGAAGTTGGCTCGTTGGTCATGGAAAGGGGTCACTGCCCTGGGCCAGTGGTCAGTGCTAAGGGATGGGGTAGTGGGGAGCTGAAGCACATTTCGGATTTCAGAGGAAGCAGGGGCTATGGGCTGAGGTGACCAGGGAACGCTTTCTGCAGGTGGTGGCTCTTCAGCTGGTGCTTTGACAGAGGGTGATTGGAATCAGAGAGGCAGACTGGAAAAGAGGCAGACGTCAGGGACAGAGATCTGTCCCTCATTTCATGATGGCAATCCAGTTTCCAGACACACGGTAGTGGAAAGGACACTTAGTCTCTTCTCAGCGCCAGCACCAACCAGCTCCTTGGTCTTGGCTCAGCTCCCTACCTCCTCTGTGCTGAGTTCTCACCTGTCGCATGTGGATGATGACACCCACTGTGTTCCTTCCATTGTGACTATGTGCCTCTCACACCAGGAGAAAAACCGGTGGGACACCAGCGGGCGCACGTACCCAGGGAGATGTCACTAAGGACGTAGTGAAGAATGAAGCTTTCGAGACAGCCCTGGGGCAGTGCTCCTGACGTGAGAACACAGGGCAGGAAGAGTAGCTTTCCGAAATCCATTCTGCACCCGGGGTTTATGGAGGACTCTGTGTTCTTGTTTTAAAGGTATTTTGGGAGAGTATTATTTGGCTTGCTAAAGGAGTGAGAGGAAAAAAATTTTGAAAATGGGATGTTCAGTAAGACATACTCTTGTGGAATGTGAACAGGGAAGAAATAGAGATGGTGTGGGCTGACTTGCCAAGAATGTTGTAGTGCTGTGATCCAAAGACTCGATAACTATCAAATTTAGAACTACCTTTAACCAACAATGTTCACCACTTAGCCCCAAGTTTCCAAAGTAGGGAAGGCTAGGATGAGGAGTAGAAAAGGAAACGTTTTTTGTTTCTCTTGGGAGTTTTAGATCTAGGTGCAAGGCTTCTGTGTTCTGCTCACCCTTTGGCTTTCAGACTCTGAATTTAGAAGACAAGTCAGAGCATGCCAGAGCTGGGAGAAATCCAGAAACTGAGAGACCAAAACGTCTTGGTTAAAGGAGAAGAGAACTTGAGGTTTGGAGGCAGGGGAACCAAGAGTAATTGGACAGATGCTCAGCAGCAGGTCACTCCCCTCCAAGCTTCAATTCACTCCACTGTAGCACGAGGATTAGGACGTCATCTCTTTTTAGCAGCTTATGGTACCTGATTCCTACCAGAAACCTTGGAGATTTTTGGAATGGATTCCAAAAATGGCACTGTGATCTTAAGATGCTTTAAAAGAGTTATGTCATCTAGAACAATAGAGGTGGCTGATCTACCTAACTCCTCACTGGTCAGACTACACTTGGAACATTGTTTAGAGCCTTAGAAAACTGGATTATATCTAGAGAAGGTGAGTAAGATGGGGCAATAGCTTGAAACATGTCTTAATGAGAAAGAACAGTTTTGGATTGGAGAAGAGGAGTCTCAGTAGGGAAAAACAGAAGAACTTCACTTAAATCCCTGAAGGCTTAAGGATGAAATTGATTCTGGGTGGTCTCAACGATGGATGAGTAAGTGGCTGATTCTGGCTTCATTCAGCCCAGTGCCTGGATTGTTGTAAGCTGTCTTGCTAATGATAGCTGGTAGGCTTCCTGGTAGCTCAGATGGTAAAGAATCTGCCTGCAATGCAGGAGACCTGGGTTGGATTCCTAGGTTGGGAAGATCCCCTGGAGAAGGGAATGGCTACCCACTCCAGTATTCTTGCCTGGAGAATTCCATGAACAGAGGGGCCTGGTGGGCCATAGCCTATTGGGTCTCAGGGTTGGACACGACTAAATGACTAACCCTTTCACTTTCAGTGTTACTCTTAAGGAAGAACTTTGCTGTAAGATTGGGTCTCAGCCTCCAAAGAATCCACTCCGATTTAATTTTCTTTTTATTTATTTATTTATTGTTAGTTGTGCTGGGTCTGCGTTGCTGTGTGCAGGCTTCCTCTGGTTGCAGCAAGCCAGGGCTGTTCTTCTTTGCCGTGGGCAGGCTTCTCATTGTGGTGGCTTCTCTTGCTGCGAAGCTCTAGGAGCGCGAGCTTCAGGAGTTGCTTATGGGCTCTAGAGCACGGGCTTAGTAATTGTGGTGCATGGGACTAGTTGCCCCACAGCTTGTGAAATCTTCCTGGACCAGGGATCAAACCCGTGTCTTCTGCATTGGCAGACAGATTCTTAACCACTGGACCACCAGGGAAGTCCCAGTTTAATTTTTACTTGAGCTTAGGAGGCCAGCTGCACCCCGAGAGCCCTGATCATTCAGAGAATGCCCCCACCTCACAAACAGTGTTTAAAACCAGGCTAGGGACTTCCCTGGTGGTCCAGTGGTTAAGACTCTGCACTTCCAATACAGAAGGCATAGATTGTATCCCTGGTGGGGGAACTAAGATCCCACATGCTGCATGGTGTGGCCTAAACAAACAAGCTGGAAAACCGGGCAAGCTCAGCGCCTCTGTATGTAGGGAAGCTTCCCTGGGACCATTTCTTCAGTCACCGCAGAGTGACTTGGTGCTGGTGTGTCTGCAGGACTCAGCGGATGGATGGGAACCACAGATGAGGAATGCATCATCTCAGCAAATGCTTACCGAGCTGTGGGTCATTACTGGTGCTGAGGATGCAGCGGAGAAGGTTAGGAGCAGAGCTGGCCAGCTGTATAGTTCCCCTGGGAGGCAGATGAGAAAAACCAGTGACCAATGCAGGGCCCAGCCCCAGGTGACATGAGACTGGCAGAGGGGAGGAACTGGAGGGTGTGGGAAGAGGGGCTACATGGTCCTCACCTGGAGGCATAGGGGATGTGGGGGGACCGCAGCACCCCACGCCTCATAGACTGTGATGAGCTATAAGGAGCAGTGGGTGGACACTGTCCCCGAGCATCTGGTCTTTGCTCTTGGGCAGTTTCAATGGGCTCAGCAGCACGGTGTGTATTTAGAGGGCAGATTTTAGGAGTAATATTGTGCATAGGTTGAACTGTGTGCCCCTAAGAGATATAGAAGTCATCACCCTCAGTATCTGGGAATGTGACCTTATTTAGAAATAGAGTCTTTGCAGATGACCGGGTTAAAATAAGCCCAGTAGGGCGGGCCCCCATCCTGAATGACTGTGTCCTTGCCAAAAGGAAATGTGGACCCAGGGACTGATGTGCACACAGGGACGATGTGATGTGAAGACAGGAGTCATGCTACTACAAGGCAAGAACCTACCAGAAGCTAGGAGCAGGGCCTGGAGCAGATCTTTCCCTGTGCCCTTGGAGGGATGTGAGCCTGCAGGCATCTTGATCTCAGACTTGTTTCCTCCTGAACTGTAGGACAATACACTTCTGTCATGTAAGCCAATCTGTTTGTGGTACTTTGTTACTGCGGCCATAGGCAGCTTCTATGGTGGAAGGGCCCAAACCTTAAACTGTCTTAGTTTCCTTTTGCCGCTATAACAGATGAGCACAACTTATTTTAATATAACACAGAAATTTCTCTCTTACATTTCTCGAGGTCAGAAGTCATACAATCAAGTGGTCAGCTGTCCAGTGCTCCTTTTGAAGGATCTAGGGGAGAATTTCCTTTTTTGCCTTTTCTAGCTTCTAGAAGCCACCTGTGTTCTTTGATTTGAAATCCCTGCTCCTGTCTTCAAAGTACATCCCTTCAACCTCAGCTCCAAATCAGAGCCTGTGTTCCAGGCTCTCGTCTCTACTCTGTCCTCTGACTGCCGTCTCCAACCCTATATGTCTGGTTCTTGCCTGTTGGTGATAAGCACCTAGGTTCCTCTTGAGCCCTCAGCACTGACTCTGTGGGCATTCTGGGGCCCCATAACCCAGGGTGGTCTCTCCAGACAGCAGAAACACTGCTGGTCCCTAGCTGAGCAGAACCTACTGGTCAGTCAAAATGCATCTAGCCCCCAGGCTCTCCTTCCTTCCCTTTCTTTTTATATGAACATCATATTTGAGATGAAAAGCGATTTGGGACTCCATAGAAGGAGGGACTTTCCAACAGCCAGAGCTCTCGGAATGGCGTAGGGTACCAACACAGCTCCTCTGGAGACAGAGAATCCTGTAGATCTTAAGAGCCTGGGCTTCTGAGTTAAATTGACCTGAGAGGATCTAACAGTTGTATGACCTTGAGCCTTAGTTTTCTCCTCTATGGCAGGAATGATAATAGTAGGATGAAATGAAGACATTGCCAGGTCACAGATTTAAATGCTCTCAAGAGAAGTGAGCAAACCAGACCAGGTGGAAGAAACACAGGGCTTTGCTGGTCATCTCTTTTTGGGTAGACCTGGGGACAAGAAACATACCCTTTATTTATTTAATTTTTAGCTATTGGGAAAACATTAGTGACTAACCAAGGGAAACTCAGCTTCAGTGTGGGGTTGGATAAAGAGTGGTAGGAACTGTGGAAAACTGACCACAGGCCCTACTGCCCCACAGAGGAGAGGGGTGCTCGAGCTTGAGCATGGAGCTAAGCAGCTTAACTGAAGTGAAGACGGACTGAGCCAGCCTGATCTAGGGCTGGCGTCCTCCTGGACTGTGAAGAGTCAGTGTGCTGGCCACACACATCAGTTATGTCGGCATCTCTGGTTTAGAACCTGGCATCAGTCATTTTTAGAGCTCTATTCTCGGTGAGTCCCAGTTTTATTTTTTTTACATATTTTAATACGTATATATTTATTATTTTAATACAACTTTTAAAGGTTACTTTCCATTTACATTTATTACAAAATGTTGGCTATACTCCCCGTGTCATACAGTATATCCTTAAGCTTTATCCTGTCTTATACCCAATAGTTTGCACCTCTTAGTCCCCTACCCCCATGTCGCCTGCTCCACTGGTAACCATTAGTTTGTTCTCTGTATCTATGACTCTCTTTCCTTTTTGTTATATCCACTAGTTTGTTATACTTTTTAGGTTCCACAAATAAGTGTTACCATACAGTGTTTATCTTTGACATCTTTCTTTTTTTTTTTTGATGGTTAATAAAGCATTTTTATTAACTAGCTAGTTACTGCCATTGGAAGTTACATTGATTTTATTTTTTTTCCCATTTATTTTTATTAGCTGGAGGCTAATTACTTTACAATATTGTAGTGGTTTTTGCCATACATTGATATGAATCAGCCATGGATTTACATGTATTCCCCATCCCGATCCCCCCTCCCACCTCCCTCTCTACCCAATCCCTCTGGGTCTTACCAGTGCACCAGGCCCGAGCACTTGTCTCATGCATCCAGCCTGGGCTGTTGATCTGTTTCACTCTAGATAATATACATGTTTCGAGGCTGATCTCTCAAAACATCCCACCCTCGCCTTCTCCCACAGAGTCCAAAAGTCTGTTCTGCACATCTGTGTCTCTTTTTCTGTTTTGCATATAGGGTATCATTACCATCTTTCTAAATTCCATATATATGCGTTAGTATACTGTATTGGTCTTTATCTTTCTGGCTTACTTCACTCTGTATAGTGGGCTCCAGTTTCATCCATCTCATTAGAACTGATTCAAATGGATTCTTTTTAATGGCTGAGTAATATTCCATGGTGTATATGTACCACAGCTTCCTTATCCATTCGTCTGCTGATGGGCATCTAGGTTACTTCCATGTCCTGGCTATTATAAACAGTGCTGCGATGAACATTGGGGTGCACGTGCCTCTTTCAGATCTGGTTTCCTCGGTGTGTATGCCCAGATCTTTGACTTCTTTTACTTAGCATAATACCATTCAAGTCCACCCATGTTGTTGTAAATGGCAAAATTTTATTAGTTTTAATGGCTGAGTAATATTCCATTATGTGTGTGTATCATATATATATATATTTTAATCAGGTTTCTTCTTCATCTCTTTATCCATTGTTGGACACTTAGGTTGCTTTCATAACTTGGCAGTTGTAAACAGTGCTGCCTTGAACATGGGGGTCAGTGGTTCCCAGTTCCAGAACCAGTAGTCTGGCAGTGGGGAGGGAGAAGGCACAGCCATGGGCCCCCTGGTGATTGGGGCTGGGGAGAGAGACCCAGGGAGAAAAGGAGGCCATGATAGGGGTTTGAGGGTGATTGCTATCAGCTGTGTCTTCTCCCTGTGACCCCCGTCACTGTCTTCATAAAGCTTCATATATCCTAACGTGCCTATTGTCATGAACTTTGGAGGAAAGGGCCAAGTTCAGTATTAAACTGATGTGGGCTAAAATGGCTCTTGTGAATAAGAAGGGTACTGACTGACTGTGGATGAAAGATCAGAGAGTCCTTGTGAAATTGTTTAGCTCTGGCTGGTCTTTTATGGGAAACAGTATACCTCTTTTCAGAACTCAGACAAAAAGAGTGACAAAATGTACATTTACAATGAGAAATTATCTTTTAAAAAATATTTATTTACATATTTAGCTGTGCTGGGTCTTAGTCATGGCACATGGGATCTTTGATCTTCATTGAGGCATGCAAGATGTTTACTTGTGGCATGCCAATGCTTAGTTATGGCACATGGGATCTAATTCCCCAACCAGGGATCGAACCCAGGCCCCCTGCTTTGGTAGCATGGAGTCTCAGCCGCTGGACCACCAGGGAAGTCCTGAGAAAGGATCTTGACAGATTGGACAATAGGAAGATGTCCTTTGGGGGTTACAGAGCAAGTGGCTGGTGAGGCTCCAACAGGAAATAAAAATTTCCCAACCAGCCTCCGTGAACTTGGTAAACTCCAGCTTAAAATTTAACTTAAACTGGCTCAAGGGAGACAAAGATAATAGGCTGTATGGGGAATGACTGTCAAAAGTTAAATGGAGTGTTTAAAGAAAAAGAGTCCTTGATCACCCCTAGGGGGGTGGAACATTTGGGAACATTTAATAAGATCATTAAACTGAGGCAGCTGAGCAGACGGATTCATTAGGTTGCATTTATCTGATGAACTTGGCACTTCTTCCAGGTAAATAAGTCATTCTTACTGGAATAGAACTTTTGTAGTTGGGGACTGGCCTTATTTTGTTCAGATTCAAATAGACAAGGCCTTTGTTTTGCTCGGTCATGTGAGGTTCGCCGTATAGCATTTGATTTTCATGTGCTGTAGTGTTGGCATGGGCTTATAAAGAGAAGTTTTAGCCAACTTGCATATTTCCATCCATATTTTGTGTACCATAGTGTAGGAGGAGTTAATTTTATTGGGTGAAATGAGATGTCCTATTGGCAGACTTTAATTTATCCCCATTTAGTGGACAAAGCAAAGAGTGGTCCATTTGGTTGGTTCCCAGGAGCCAAGAGAGTTGAGGAAGCAGGCAGTGGCTTAGAATGAGGGAAAGGGGCAATGTGATTTAAAGTAATATGTATTTGGTCTTTGTCCCTGTTCCTGTCACACTCCCATACCCCTGACCTTCCTAGAGGGGAGGGGGCTAGATATTGAACTGTCATCCATGGCCAGTGATGATCAGTCATGCCTATGTCATGAAGCCTCTGCAGAAACTCTTGAAAAGGATGCATTTGGGAGAGCATCTGGGTTAGTAAACAAATGGAGGTCCTGGGAGAGAGGTGTGCCCAGAGAGGGCCGGAAGCACTGTGGCCCTCCCGCATACCCTCACCCTATGCACGCCTTCCATCTGGCTGTCCCTGAGTTATATCTGTTTATAATAAGCAAAAAAAAAGTGGTCATCTCATCAGTCAAATGC